TAAACTCTCAAAATAAGGAAGTTGACCCAAGCTCTCACTGCCAAGTATTTTGAATGATGAAAATAACCACCACCTCAACTTTGTTCTATCACTTGGCCTAGTTAAAACCAGACCCTTGTCCTATGCTTCGGAACTGCATCGGAAGGCAAGGGCCTGGCTAATATTAACTAAATTATAGACAATTTTTAAAACAAATATACTTTTTAATAATAATAATAAAAATGTTACAGGGTTAGATTTTCAAAAAGAACAATGGCTTTTGGTTATGGCTTTAAATAAACAGGGACTCAGATTTGGTTGTGCATTTTTTGCCCACAAAAGACAAACTCATCGACATCCCATGGTGTCAGTTTCACAGTCTGTGTTGGCTGAACTGTGCCTCTCAAAAAGGAAAGGCAATAAGCTAGCTTCTGCACGACAACTGGCGCCAAGGAGGTAAACAAAAACAGCAAACAAGAAAAAGATGAAATCAGCAGAAAAACAAAGAAGACTGGAGCTGAGGGACGCAGAGCTACAAAGTAATTCTTCAAAAAAACAGAAATATTTGCATTTAGTTTCCAAGTCTCTGTTTGTTTTTAGTGAGTAAGTTTGTGACAAAAGCAGATTTTGATTATTGAAAGCAAATTTTAATTGTGTAAATTTTGTTTTCCTATTCATAGTTTAACCCATACAGTTTTTTTGCAGCTATAGATTTGGCACACTTTGTGTTCTTTTATCGAAAACATTCAGCTCGACTGGGAACGGTGTGATGGACTTGCGACCTGTCCAGGGTGTACCCCGCCGCTCGCACTGTGACTGCTGGAAATGGGCACCAGTGACCCACGCGACCCTGAAAAGGAAGAAGCGTGTACAGAAAATGGATGGATGGATGGATGGGAACGGTGTGCCATGAGTTTGTAACTTTTTCACTTTTTCAATTATTCATATGCAAAAACATTTCGCATTGAAATACATAAAAAAATTTCTTCAGGTTTTCCAAAAACATTCTTACATGAATTTTCTGCCAACACACTTGATTTTTTTCTCCTCTGAAGCTTCTTTTAGCTTTTAGCTACTAGAGTTTAGCTACAGTTTTTCATGTTTTAGATTTTACCTACAGCTTAGCTTGTTTCAATTTGTATGTTTTGTGAATTTTAGTTTTGTTTCTCTGAGTTTAGCTTGTTTTCAATTCAATTCAATTCAGTTTATTTATATAGCGCCAAGTCACAACATTCATTGTCTCAGGGCATTGTACATAAAAAGGAATAATCTAAAGAAGAAACCAGCAGCCTGCATTGAATCACTTCATCACAGTCTCCCATCC